CAACAAATGGCATGGGTTAAAATTTTGTGTTCCCTCCTGTTAATTTTTGTGTTCCCAGAACGGTCTCTCCTGTTGGTTGATTATCAAGTATTTTCTAATTCATCAATATGATATGGAAAAGACACTTAATTCGCAATTCGTGATAAACGGAAAGGATCGACATACATTTTAATAGTAAAATGCGGGGTTAATAACTTAATAAAATTTATTAATAACAATAATTTTTGGCCGGTTTTTCCCATTTAATAATTTTTCGTGACAAAAAAATAATTATTTTCTCATTATTTTCATTCAAATGTCAAAACGACCAAACTTGATTGTGAATCTTGTTTCTATAGGTCATATTGCATCTCATTTGCATTATGGAATAAATTCAAAAGAATGGTGGAATGTAAAAAATGACAGTGACCCAAAAATTGGTGCTTTACTTTATCCAAAACGTGTAGGCTGGGAGACATATATAGAACAAAATAACAGAAAATTTTATCTACAAATAACTGAAAGAGATGAAAATGGTGAAATATTACCAGGTTATAGATGTCGATCTGAGAATGAAATTAGCAATATTGAAACATCACCAACTAAAGCAATAACAAGTTTGTATAGAAAAATTTTTCCTAATTCAAGCACAAACTTTTCTGGACCCTTAGTAATAGGTTGGGAAAATGATGAATTTCTAAAGAATTCATTGAATGATATAGATTTTAGGCCATTTGCTATAAAGGTTGATAAGTTGTTAGTTTATGTTACTAACATAGGCATTGGAGAAGAAGTACATGATATAGGAGCCAGAGTTGGTTATACAGCCTCCATTACAGGTGAGGTTAAAAAAAAACGTGCAATATTCATTCAAACAGTTGAATCTCAACAGTGTAAGATTGTAATATATCAAAAGGATATTGAACCAAAAGTCTTCCTTGGTTCTACTCCATTGGAGGTTTGGAAAAAAACAAATCTTTTCAAAAAATTCAATGGTTTTCAATTATTTGGATTAGAACATCCAATGACACAAAAGATTTTGTTAGAAACTAAAGTTCCCAAATGTACACCTGTATCATGGAATAATGAAAAAATAATGAATGAGATTTTTAATTATCATTTGAAAAAAAGAACAATTAGTGATATTGATTGGGAACATTTTTTTCAATCTTGGCAACAACAAAAAAGCCCAATTATTGAATTGCATGGAAAATTAAAAAAGTTATATCCAATTAACTATTTGTTTGATGTTCGTGAGCTTAGAGCATGGCGTGCAATGTTGAGGGCCACAGGTTGTTCAGAAATCACTCCATTTTCAATAGACAAATCAGAGGTAAAAGTGTTTTGTTGTTAATTAATCAAATTATAACCAAACTAATTCAAAATTTTGCTGTATTTAGTGTGAATTTTGGTCTTGTAACTCTGACCCATTAGTAGATCAAAATACTTTAGAAATCTTGTATCATGATGGATTATTGAATTCAAAGCCAAAAAAAATCATTGATGCTAGTGATCGATTCTGGGAATGCTTTCAAAAAACACTAAAAGAAAACCAAACAGGTTATGATGGAAAGATAAGAATGTTGTCCATAATTGCAAGTGATTTTGAATATGAAGAGCTTGAACAAAAACTCAAGGTAAGCATAATATTATTATCTACAAAACACATTTATATTTTTGATAATTCTGCTGTATTGAGAAAATCATTGGTGGGTGACATTGATCAATGTTTAATGAACCAATGGTGATGTTTCTAAAAATGTTTCAACAAGACATTTACCTGGTCAAAATTCTAGATTTTCACATTTAAAATAACCTGTATTTTCTGAAAGTTTGGAGTGTTATAGGTTATTTTAGGATATTATTGGTAAAATTATTCATGTGTAATTTTGTCCTTATGGTATAGATTAATTTCAATCAACCATTTAAACCCAAAAATTGCCTGAAAATTAGAAATCAATAAAGACTTTGTATTTTTATGATTAATAAATTTCAAAAAGATTTTGGAATACATCACTAGGATTGATATTGTTCATTCAATGTTGCATACTGCTTATGATATTTATTGAAAATAAATCTTGTCAAATAATATTTATTATTTTTCCATTGAAATTTATTTGCAATTATTATTGTCTTTTAAGCTCTGTAATAATTTCATTAAATGAAATAAAATCCTTCTTTTATTGCATCAACATTATCATTAATGTTATTGTCAATATTATCATCAATGTTATCATTAACTAAATCATGCACTTATATAATATTTTTGATGATAACAGGTCTCTTCCAAAACAATAGCAAAAGCAAGAGTTCACTCTGAGGTTAATGGACCAGGGTGTGCAGTAATTGAAAAGCCAAAAATTACAAGGTTGAGAATATCAGAAGAGTCTAAAAACAATTTCCTAAATTTTTTTGCTGACAAAAATATCGTAAATTTAAGTTCCTATAAAGTGAATGAAAAAACTGGTGAACCTATTAAGTATTTGAAAGATAATAAAGAAACATTATGGAGAAAATATTTTGAATTATATCCTAATGGAATGAAAAGAACTGCTTTTTTAGCTAATTTGAATGATGGTTCTTATATATATAAAGAAGATCTAGGAGGTTTGTGTGGTACATGTTTTGAGTATGGATATGGTGTATTTGATGATTTGAAAATCTTAATATTAGATAGAATAAATGAAAAAGAACATCAGGTGAGTAAATATTTCTGAGGATATAACTAAAAATGAAATACTAAAAATTTCAATATATTATTAGCATCAAATAATTGCGGAGCTTGAATCTATTCAACGTCATTTAAAACGTGAATATGAGAAAGAACTTGATGTGGATTGTTTGGGACACACTTACCATGTTGAATGTCTTGAGCATTGCCTTCCATATGCTTTTGGAGAATGTACTGAGCCTCACCTCTCAAAATGTAACCAATGTAATAAAATATCAGAAATGTTTTACCAACTAAAAGAGCTTATGCCAAATGACATAGAACGAATTGATAAAAATAGAAATAAACTTCAACACTATTGGTCACACCAAGCAAGAAAGTTATACCTCAATGCCCAATTTAATGCCAACCTGCTTGATCTTGATGAGGAAGGTGCTATTATTGTAGTTGATTATAAAATGAAAATTTTACCAAAATCAGCAAGAGAGTTAAAATCTGATTTTTATGGAAAGTCTGGATGGACTCTGCACTCAATGCTAGTTTACACCAAACTTGACAATGACTTAGAAATTCATGCCTTTGACCACTGGTCCTCAGATGCAGCTCAAGATGCATGGTTTACTGCTTCATGTTTTGAAGTTGTATTCAACACCCTTGAAAAAAAACCAAAGTGGGTAAGAATTCTATCTGATAATGGTGCACATTATCATTGTTCCGAATTGATGGCAATAATTGCAAAATGGAATATGTGGTATGATGTGGAGGTTCGGAGCTGGACCTTTTTAGAAGCAGGAGAGGCTAAAACAACAATAGATTCACATCATGCTCAGGTTAATAATGTTAATGATAAATGCTGATGATAAATGATAACAAAAATGCTCACATTTTTTTTCTATCTTCCATAGATTTCCCAAGCAATTAAACGATATGTTAGGCTTGGAAACAATGTATCTGAGGGTGAAAATATAGTAGAAGCTATTAAAGTTATTAAAGGAACATCAGTGGCAAATATTAATCCTGATAGAAGTTATAAAGAAAGAAAAAAACCTACAATTTCTGGAATCTCAAGCTGGTTTGAATTTCAATGGCCTGTTGAAGGAGAATTGGCTGGTTTTGTATGTGCTAGATCTCTTCCAAATTTTGGAGAATGGAATAATTTCTCTCCTGATATTATTCGTAAATCAATGAAGGGTGGTGAACAACATAGGCCAAATCCCTTAATTTCTACACACACCAAACCTGAATGTCAATGGATAACTCCTATACCATCGACAGGTAATATTATCAATGAATTCTATAAATATTTCAGAATAGTTTTGATATCTTTTGGAATTAAAATTAAGAATAGCATTATTAACTAATGCAATTTCTTATCTTTTAGTTTCTGGTATAGGATTAAATAGATTAAAAAAAGTTGATATCAAAGAGAAATTAAAACAAAGAGGTCTAGAATATAATGAAAAAGATGATCGATCAGAATTAACAGAAATTTTGAAGGCTGATATCACAAGTGAAACAAAAAATAAAATAGAAGGTAGTAAAAACATTGAAATAATAAAACTTAGCTTATAAACTTTTTGATTTTTAGAGGCAAGGCTAAAGAAAAAAATAGAAGGGGCGATAGAAATCAGTAACATCACAGAATCTGATAACAAAGAAAGAAGTAAAAAAAGAATAAAATTATCCCTTACACAATCTGATGGCAAAGAGATCAGGTAATTGAAAGCTTGATGATTGTTCACGTCACTGATGATTATGACTTCTTTAATTTGATCAGGAAAGACAATAGCAGCTTTTGCAATAAAAAATTTGTAATGTTGAACTTTCTTCTGCTAAAATTTTCTAGGAATTTCTTCCAACTTGGGTGGGCCCTAAAAGAAAACCAAGAATACGGGAAAAAAGGTGGTGGAAAACATATGTCTGATAAAGTGATAGAATTGTTGAAAACTTTTTTCCATAGTGGTGACATAAATAAAAGTGAACGATATACAGCTAAAGAAATGTTCGAAGAACTCCAAAATAATGTGGAAACAGGTGAGTTGGAAGTAAATGACATTCCAAAGTTGAAAACAATTGAAAATTGGATTAGTAGGTATTCTAGTCAACATAAGAAGGCAATGGCAAAGAGACAACAAAATAATGAATAAAAATCTTTATTTACATTTTTCCAAGTGAATTTTCTATTTTTTTTTTAGTTGAATGCTTCGAATATTGCAATTTTTTTTACCCATAATCCTGAGCCGGTTTTGAATTCATACTTTATTGGTAAAAAATTAGCACATAGTTTTTTAACAACAAAAATATTAATAGATTATACTAATGTTTTTTATTATGCATGAAGGTAATACTTGATAATAAGGTTTTGTGCCAGCAGGAGATAAAGTTACGTGATAAAATTTATTTTATTATAAAATCGAGAAATTTTGCCCCGATCTGCATTATGTAATTTCTTTCCGTTTCTGGCGAATTGCGAATTAACTATTTCATGCCGTCTCTAAGAAAGATTCTGCTAAATACATTCATGGTAGTAGATTAACTTTTGGATTTTGATGGTCAATAATTTTATCAAAAAGATAAGTTGTATTAATATTGAATTTTCATTTGATTTAAGCAAAGTGGATAAAAGGATCAACCAGTGAAACCCGCCTCCCTTTTTATATGTTTTGTAGCAGTCCAAGAATCAAATTCGGATTTCAAGTGGGCTTCCATGAATGCCTAATGTCAAGATGATATCATTTGTGAATTCTAGTAGATGGAAAAAATTATGTTAGGATGGATGCCTAATACTAATAAGCGATCAACAGATCCGCACAATCATCACAAAAATTATCACAAGTGTCGTGTGCAAAGATTTTTTTTATTAAAATGCTAAAAATAAATTATGCAATCCTGCCATATAATCTAAACCAACAACCCATTTGGGCAGAATTTGAATCATTATATTATTTTGCGGATGACTCAAGCATTTAAAAAAATTAATCCCCCGAAAATTATTACAGATGTAGCTATTTCACATTTTTATTAATAACTGAATTATGATTCTTCCATTTCCTCCTCTTCCAAAAAATCTTTGAGAACATCTCTATATTTGCTCCAAAGCCACCGCAAAGCATCTTTGGCTGTTGGTCTATTAAATTTATCCTTTGCCATCAAGTTCATTCTTGCATAAGCTTTCAATTCATCCAATCCTTGAAGCTCAACAGAGGCCGTCCGAATCAAATATCCGACAGACCAAATATCAACACTCTCATTGTGATGAAATTCAAAAATCTCAGGTGCATGACTTTCTTTAGCTAATTGTGTGTTAGGAATATTTGAAGGAACACAGCACGCGTCATCGAAATCAATAATGAACCAACTGTCTCGATCTATGGACTTTAACACGTTATCCCAATGGAGATCACGATGCATGATTTTCATTTTGTGGAGAGCCTGAGAATGGATATTTGTTTATAAAATACCTACGTTTTCAAGATAGCAGACAATGGATAAAATGAAAGATAATAGATACCTTAAGGGCAGTCAAAACACAACACAATGCTTTGATTAGTTGTTCCTTTGATCGTGGTTTACACATCATGCCCTTTGGTGAAAAAATCATGAATGGAGTTGATCCTTCCTCCGTATTGACGTGATTGAGGGAATCAATGAAAGGAACTTGATGCTTGGCCATTTCATCATAAAGGGTCTTAAGTTTCATGACAGAATCCACTGAAGAATAACGTTTCACAACTGTATTTTGCATAAATTCAATCACTTTACCACTCGTTCGATGAAGAACAACAAATTCCCGCTGAAAATACTCTGGCACAGTTTGGCGAAGTAAGTGTAATAATCGACCAATGTTTCTTCCAATATTGAAGGCTTGTA